TCTCACTCTCTCACTGTCTCACTGACTCACTCTCTCACTGACTCACTCTCTCACTGACTCACTCTCACGCACTGACACACTCACTCACTGATTCACTCACTCACTGTCTCACTCTCACTCACTCACTCACTGATAAAAAAATAAATAAAATAATAATAATAAATTTAAAAAAAGAGAAAGAGCTTTGTATCAAGAAGCAATTATGTATCAAGCAAACATCTCAGCCCAGTCGAGATCAAGTCCATAAGTCCGATACTAGTCCATCAGTCCCTCTTCAGGCGCACACAGCCACATGCAACCATGCAGAATTCAGGAAGAGCACAGGCGGGTGGGTGCAATGGGCTTGTGTAGGCGGGTGGGTGCAATGGGCTTGTGTATCCAATGGGCAGTGGCTGCATCAGAGGGCTCCCAGGTCTCAACGTGGCTCGCCAGCAGGCAGGAGAAAGCCTAGAGAGAGTGGAGCCAGCTTCCAGCAATCCATTGATCTCGGTTACCTTCCAATTAAGCTGTGACCTGATTGACAGGCTGAACTCCACCCACTTGTTCCTAAGGAGCCAAGTTGGCGCCAAAAAACCTAACTCTCACAGGCAGCTTCATGGTCTTGGATAAGTGTGAGCCGGTTGTTGAGGCCCGGGTGGTAGCCCATCTCCCTGTGGGTCTTCCTCAGGTTGTGCTGCCCCTCTACTTTACCACACATGGGGTCCTTCTCCAGCGATCGATCTTCCCTGATGACTGGCCCAAAGTAAGCAAGACAGTCTCACCATCTTGACATCTAAGGAGGATTTGGATTGTATTTCTTGTAAGACTAATGGAATATTAAATGGGAGATGGACGAATAGAATCCTAGAGCTTCCTCAACAGCTAGGATGCCGGATCCCAAGTTCACAACATACCATTAGTCAGGATGTCGCGGGCGCTGTTCCACAGCGCACTCATTCCATGACCCTGTCTTCACCAGGAAGAAACACATGTGTGAGTTAAGCCTGGTAAAAGTATGGATTAGAAGGCACCGTCAACTGATTCTGGCAAATGAAACACAAATTCACTGGTGAACTAGGGTCACTCTGAGCCCTCCAGGCCATGAACCAGAAAGGTTATGAGGTCACTGCCAACATGAATTAAAACGCAAAGGAAGGGGGAGCTAGGCGATGAAGAAGGAGGCTCCTCCCAGCCTCTTCTCCCAAACCTATTCATCGGGGAAATACTGAAGGCATGTCTCCTGTGAGCCACCTCCACCTGTCTGCCAGCATGTCCTCCTGTGATGGTTTACATATCACCATGATGCTGGAAGTTCTGCCACTGCTGTTTGATATGCCAGCAGGCTCACAAGAAAGAAGTACAGCCAGGATACTCCTTAGAAGCCTGGAGGGCTCAGGCTCTAGTTGCGCCGTTTGGATATAGCATCAGGAAGACCCTTTGCTGGCGAGAGAGGCCATCATGTTCGGTTAAGGAGAGGATCGGTGAAAACGACAGAAACTGTCCAGGAGAGTGGATTGCCACCACGACTGGCCACAGTGGCTCAGGCCTTTCACCAGCAATCGTGAAAGTGGGGTAGGCCCAGGCAGCGCTTCATTCTCTTTTATGGAAGGTCACCAAAAGTCAGAGCAGCCTGACAGCAACTAACGCCTGTGTGCCTCGCCTGAGAGAAGTGCTTCAAGAAGCCAGAGATGACGGTTGCGGATATAGCTCGAGGGCCAGAGTACTGTTTCGGGGTTCTTTGCTTTGCTTCGTGTAAGTGTGACTTGACATTTCCCTTTAAATTGACTTGTCTTACCAATCAGTGTTCATAGCAGCATTGTTCAGAGTCAAAAGGTGGGAATGACTTCAGTACTCACCAACCTGCAGATACCTGCAATCTGGTATAAGGTTGAGTCAGAAAGTGTGGCTGCCAGTGCTCCAGTTTATACCTGTTGAGATGTCTTCATGATTGGTCTCTAGTTTACCTCTCCGAGTCCTAATACCCATTCCAGTGGCTACACAGAACACACAGACAAAATCCATGATTAAAGACTTTATTAAGGAAGTTGATAAGTTAAAGTGCCAATGAGAAATGCTCAGGCATGAGTTGTGTATCAGGACATGTTACAAAGTTCTGTCAAGTCTGGTAATAAATGCCCCCCAAAGCATACCACTCTGCTATAAGCCTCAGCCAAAGGTCCATGGGTCAGCAAACACAGCTCCCTGAATGAAGTGCCCAGAGGCACCCACTCCAGGAAGCCTCAGCCCAAAGGTACTCAGCTCCAGTTCTGTGGGTCAGCAAGTCCAGCTTCCCCAGTCACGTGCCCAGAGGCCCCGTACTCTGCAAGCCTACCCCAAAGCACACAGTTTTACCTGGAAGGCCATCACTCTGTTCCATGCTCGGGCTCCTGGCTCTGCTGCTGCTCCCCGGAGGTTGTGCTGTCTCCTGCATCCAGGAGGTTCACTGTGCAGGGATCTCGGGTTCAGAGGACGAGCTCCACTCCTGGGTCTTGCTGGTAATGAGATCCCGCCTCCTGCTTCCCAGAGGGCTTGTTTTATACACCGCAGGATGTCACTCCAGGGAATCCTGTTCACAGTTACTCGCAGGTGAATCCCATCAGTATCTCCTCTCACCTTCTTACCAGACTCACCAAAGGTCATTTGCTGGCCGTTAGAGACTTTGGCTAGAAAAAAAGCCACTTTAAATAACTCACTGCCCCTGCATATGCCTGCGTTTGTTTATTTATTTATTTATTTGTAAGTTTAAACTTGTCTCTGTGATCAGTGGATCGACAGGTTCTCTCGGTGATACGCATGTCTTACTCTCATTATAGTACTTAAAAAACAAACAGACAGCTCCATTCAAAACAGTGGCTTCTGAGGGGATCAGCTGGGCCAGTGAAAGCAAGGCAGGGAAGGTTATGGTAACTGTTTTGGGGGGTCATGTTATCTCTTCTTGAGATGATTATAAGGACTTCGTATGAAGAAATTGTAAGAAAATGGAAAACTGCATTCATGAGAAAGAGATTGGGAAAGTTGCACCAAGGGATTTTTCCATCAAGACAGCACACCTGTTCCTCTTTCCAGGGTAGAAGGACTGTGCTGTGACGATTTCCTGGAGAAACTGTAGCGCATGCACCCTACAACCCTGATCTTGCCCTTCGCACTACTTTTTGTTCCCAAAATTCAAAGAACATTTCAAAGAAATGGGTTTCCCAACACCCCCCCACCAGAAATAACAAAACTTGTCACTTTGATGTGATATCAATTGAAGAAGCCCAGAGGCAGGATTTTTGTTAGTGTTCGGTGCCCTCGAGTCGTTTCGGATTCGAGCAATGATATGTAGGACAGATTGAAGCTTTGCCCAGCCCCGCGCCATCCCCACAAGCATTTCTAGAGGTGAGCCCATGGTCGCAGCCACTCCATCAGTCCCTCTTTCTGGGGGCCTCATGCTGAATGGAAGGGCCTGGGACCGTGAGGAGGCCAGGGACATTGTTTGGGATGCAGTGTCTGCAATACACGGGTTGAGTGCAGTGGGTCCTGGGGGGGGGGGGAGCCCTACAGGTAAGCAGAAGAGGTTGACCCAGAACAGGGTGGATCATGGCTACACTGCAAGGAGGCAACGTGGGCCAGAGTCCTTGCGGCTTTCTCACTACGTGTATGCCAGAACCCAAACTTTGAAGGCAACACAAGTAAAGGGAGAAGCTTGTTGGAAACAACTCAAACCAGCCCCTGTGTTTTGCCCTGAGTGGGATGGCTAAGATAGTGTCGCCATTGCAACTGAGCATGTACATAGCCCGAACTTGGCCCACCTGGTTCACCTATGCCGTTATCTCTGGCAGAAACACTCCCCTCCTGGGTTATCGCCATCATCCTCATCGCCTCGGTGTTTGTGGTCTTCCTCCTGCTCCTCAGCTGCTTTGCCTCGATGTGGTATATTTACAAAAAGACCAAGTACGCGTTCGCCCCTGGGAATTCTCTTCCACAGCACCTGAAAGAGGTAGGTGAAGCGTGGCAGTATGATGGAGATCAGGGAGCTCTGATGGTAAGGGGTTTTCTTTTTTGAATCAAGAATGCCTGGCCCCGGTTTCCCTGGAGAATACTGTGCGTTCCCATGGGCTCATTGCCTTGCACTGTGTGCCCGCTGCAGGGAGCTTGTGGTCCAAAGAAGCATCCAAAGGAAGGAGGCAAAGGCTTGTTGCAGAACCCAGCCCACCCACCCCACCCCCACCCCCACCTGGACAGCAGTCCTCCTCCGCCCTCTCCTCCCAGAGCCCCAGGGCCTCAGAGGAAGGGGAGAGTGGAGCTCTAGGTGGAGAAGATGAGGAAGGAAAACTGCAGGCTAAGTGCCAGCGAATGAGCCAAGGCGGCAAGGTGGGAGGTGGAAGTTTCCACTGTGAATTTCTTAGAGTGGTTGAAATCCTGGGGTAGTTAAATGTGTATCCTAGACTTTAGGAGAGCTGTTTTCTAGGGAAATGTGCTGAGAAAGTTTGGAAATTGATATTGGTGGTGTTCGCACAACATTGGGAATCGAACTAACGTCACAAAGCGGTACACTTAAAAATGGTGAAAATGGGAAATTTGGTTATCTATCCACTGCTCACTTAGCAACAGTTAGGTTCCAGAGACAAACCCTAACCAGCCTTGCTTCACATCTTAGCATATATTACTGCCAAATGTATGTCACATTAGTGTGCAAATAGTCGACCAATAGGGTTTTTTCTACTACTGTTATAAGTGAGGTGGATATTGAGATCATTCACGAGTGAGGAGTGGGTGTATATATTTTACACTGTTTTTATAAATGTTTAAAAATAAGAGTGCACACAACTAGACACCGCAGATCTGAAGAAACCCATGAAAGATGAGATTCTGACTAGACGTCGGCATTTGAAAATGAACGTATGCCAAGCCCAAGCCTGCAATGAGCCTGCCTGCCATCTGATGCCCCAAGAAACAGACTCTGGTGCAGAGTTGCACTCAGAAGGCTGCATGAGAGGGGAGCCGAGAATGGCCCTTCACGATGTCCCCAGCTGAGGCAACAGGGTTGCTGAACCTTCTGACCCAGGATGCCAGGAGAGGGGTGTGCCCTAGAGAGCAGCGCCTCCCTTCAGTCAAGGGAACTCCTGGGAGAAAAACTCACCTCTGAGGCATCAGCAGCCGCACTCCCAGCCTCGTGCCTGGAGGAAATCCAGGAAACACACCCAGCACTCATGACAGTTCACACTTTGCACCACTGGCAGCCCTGGGAACAAGCTGTTCTGGGATGGGCGTGGATTTCTTTTCCTGAGGAAAATTACATGGAGAAGGTTGGTGGGACTCCAGCCCCTGACCCCTACAGCTGGTCTCAAGACTAATGCCCACCTCCCTCCTCTGCTGTTCCCTCTAGAGTCGCCTCTCTTGCTCGGTGACTGGCCTGTGCTGACACACACTGCTTATTGGATTGGGTGGCCCATGTCTCCTGCCTGAGAGATCTTACTACCATGCCCGTCACGGGCAGCAGATGGTCTCCTTGTGCATGTGCCCGACATGGTTGTTATAAGGTGGCATTGGGTCAGTTCTGGCTGGTAGCTACTCTGTGTACCACAAAACAAACCCCGGCTCAGTTCTGTGCCATCTTCAAAATTGTTATGTTTGAGCCCGTTGCTGCCGCCATGGTGCCCATCTGTCTTGTCAGGGGTCTTCCACTTTTTCCCTGACCCTCTGCTTTACCAAATGTGATTTCCTTTTCCAGGGACTAGCCCCTCTGGCAAGCCCTGATGGCACAGCCCTGGGCTGTGATCCAGAAGGTCAACAGTTCAAAACCACCAGCCATTCCTCAGGAGAAAGACGAGGCTTTCGGCTCGCATGCACAGTAAACAGCTACAGTCTCAGAAACTCACAGGGCAGTCCTACCCTATCCTGTAGGCTCGCTATGAGTCTGCATCATGAACTCAGTGGCAGTGAGCTTGAGTCCCTCTTCATAACCTGCCCAGTGTATATCCGGTCCACTTCTAATGAGCATGCTGGCCGTTCTTCTTCTAAGACAGATGTCTGTTCTTCTGGAAGTCTGTAGTGTTTTCAAGATTCTTCATCAGCACCCTAATTCTGACGCAACAATCCTTCTCCTGTCTACCTGCCTCATGTCCAAGCAGGGCAATGAGTCCATGAGGTCTGCCATGGCTCCACACGGGCCCTGGTGTCCTGTAACAACAGTCACACCTGGATGACCAGCGCAAGGCCCTTGACCGGCCAGCATGGCGACTCCTTTCATTGCCTGTTAGCTTCTTGGCACCAGGAGCCTAAAAGGAGGAGGGAGCAATCACAGTTTAAAGTTTAATGGGACTCTTACTGTGTTGCTTGGTAAAAATGCCCCCCTCCCCTCTAGACATGGGACCAGTCGACATTTTCTTAGAACAGATGCTATGTTTTTTAGCCTTGTTAGACCATCAGAATATTAATGTGGCTACTTATCTAATCATCTAAAAGTCTAGAAACTATTCTTAGCATGGGACCCATACATAAACAGGCAGTGGATTTGATCCATGGGCCATCATTTGTCAACCTTTGCCATCCTAAAATTGCATGAATGCCAACTACACATTGCCCATGTGGTCCACTACAATGGCAGGGTCACTCCTATCCCAGGTGTTCTACCTGTTGGAGGTGTCAGGGCATTGATGCTAGTGCATTGCAAGGACTAGAGGACAGTGCCCCCATTCCTGGGTGCCATCTCCCAGCTGGCACCCCGCCTGTACGTTCAACAGACCCCTCCAGTCCTACCGGACTGGCAGTGTGTGACGCAATCTGTGGCTCCCGTGGGGTGTGCTCACTCCGGACCATCCTTGCTGCCAGCAGGGCCTTCGGTCCAGCGTGATGTCATGTGGTCCCTGTGCCAAAGAAGCAAACAAGGTTCCATCACAAGTCCTCGGTGATGCTAGCAAAGACCTCACAGGACAGGAGTGACCAACCATGACCATGGTGTCCACACCAGTCAAAATGCATTGCCGCCTCTGAGAGGTTGTGGAACCAGTTTGCTTCCAGGGCACTAGTAGGTCTCCTTAAGGAGTGGGAGCCTCCGCTCTGAGGCCCTGCATGGCCTCCCCTTCTCTGCCACTGCACGCCTCTGCCCGTGAGCCCATAGAGACACATAGCGGTAGCTGATGGCCAAGCTGACTAATGTCAGCTGCTTCCGTTCTCTGGTCTGCTTGGTGGTTTAGACCCCCCTTCCAGGTGCATGCACTTGGGTGAATGTTCTCTCTGCTGGGTACACCCACAGACACATCCACAGGCTTCCTAACCCTTTGATCATTCAATATTTCTTCTAGGCCCCGGTGTTGACAGGGTTCTCTAGAGAAAACAAGACCAGGACACTTATGATTAGATAGGTAGATAGATAGATGATAGATAGATAGATAGATAGATAGATAGATAGATAGATAGATAGATAATAAGAAATAGACAGCTAAATAGTCTATAGAGCAGTATAAATGGCCCAGTGCAACTCATTTCCATGAGACAGCTAATACACTGGCAGTCCTTCAAGTCACGAGGGCTGCCGGGTGCAAGTCAAGGAAGCAGACAGCTGAGTCCTCTGTAGAGCAATTCAGGCAGTCCGGCCACAGGCAGCAAACAGCAAGATCGGTCACCAACAGTCAGCCAGGTGACAGGGTTTGACAGTCCCCAGCTCAAGCGATGTATACTCCAGTAGCGTGGGGAAGCAGGTGTTGAAGGAACCTCAAACTACAGCAACACAGTCCATGAGTTGGGTGTCCCACAGGTAGTGTAGCTCACAAGTTGAGACAGAAAACCAGCTAAGGCAGCCGCACACTGGTCCAATCATCAAAGAGCAAGAGCAAGGCGAGGCTCGCTGAGGCATTTATCTCTCTGCCCTTCAATTAATCCCATTTGTGTTCATTGGCCAGGTTGGCACAATAAACCTACCTATCACAGCCCCTGACCAACCAGCCCATCCACTAGCCCCTCTGGGGATCCTAATCTCCAGCTACTTTTGCCATATAAAGGGCATGACCAAACTTCTAGCCCAAGCACCGCCTTTTAGAAGGCTTTTCCCTCACCATGACCTTCTATGCCTCCCCAGGGCAGGGGTGCTGGTCAACAGCAGCCTGCCTCGTGGGGCGGCTAATTGCAATGCCTGTGAGATGTTTGACCTTTCCCTCCATCTTCAGCCAGTAAGAAGGCCCCCTCCTCAGAGAATGCGATCCCGGATGTGCCCAGGGGACAAGGCTCCAGTATTTCAGTGTGTGCTATGGGCATCTGAGCCACCTGCCTGTGCAGCTGGCATGCACCCTCTGACCCACTGTAGAGATCCAGTGGGCCTGAGAGACCTCCCAGTGGCCACATCCTGACCTGGCACCCCACAGGCAGATATTCTGGTGTTCTCCACTGTAGGCAGCTGGGCCCCAGAACTCCAGCGGTCTGCATAGTGATTCTCCTGATGCTTGCCATCAACTCCAGCAAAAAGGGTTGCCAAGCCAGAGTAGAACTACTCTACAACGTGGGGAAATATCTGGATACAGTATCTTGCCCCCCAGCCCCACCCCCGCCTGGAGCCTGCAGGGGCAGGCTGTGATGAATGAGTTGGCATTGAGAAATAATGCCAGCCCTTCAGACCCTGTCATCCAGTCATGAGGTGGCGGCACTGCTTCCCCAAGGGTCCATACCTGCTGCCCTGGGCCCCATTCAGAACTGGCAGCCTTCCCAGTCACTCGATAAACGTGTTGAAGCAGTATTGCTAAACGTGGAAGAGATATTTTTAGTTCCAAAGGGGCCTAAAGTGCAAGATCTAATCACTTATCCTTGGCCTTGGAGGGCATATTCCAGCATACCCCACACAATTGGAACCCCCAAACCACTGAGGTTGCAGGCCCCAGACTCCTCAGAGTTGCACACCCTCTGAAAGCATGTCTGACCAAGGCCTACAGGGAGCATGCAGATTCTTGCTCTTCCTGCCTGTTGTTGATGGTAAGGAGTTCCTGGTTACCATAGCAAAAACATTTGAGCTGATTTGAACTCCCTTGGGAGTGCCTCAGAGGAAAGGGCTGCTGACATGCTTCTGGAAAGTCACAACTATGCAAATCCCCCAGGAGCACAGTTCTGCGGACCCCTAGTTTGGGTTGATAATATAGTTAGGGCTTGGTCCCAACATTGACTAGTTAGTTGATAGCCTGCCCTGGGAATGGCAAGTAGCCTTGGCCAAGGCAACTCTGTCTGCAAATGTTAATTCTTGAACTTGACAGTGAGCTGTCCCAGCTGCAAGTGTTCCCAGGAGCCATAGGAATGAGTGTCTCTGTCGTAATGTCTTTGAACAGTGCAGCATGGCCACCACTAGGACAGAAAGTGGGCCCAAAGCCAAAGCATGAACTTCAGAGTGTCTCCCAAAACTCCAGACTCATAGTGACATTCCCCCCACCCCCGGTGAGTTTCCAAGACTCACTGTTCACAGGAGTGGAAAGCCCAGTCTTTCTCCCTTGGAGCTGCTGGTGATTTTGAACTGCCTACCATTCGGATCACAGCCCAACACATAACCGCTACACAACTTCTGAGTGTGCACAACCTTCAAACAGCACCAGGGAAACAATAGAATCTACTTAGAGGCAAGCTTTTGAGAAGCTACGTTGGACCAGACCCGTGACTTTGAAGGTGTTTTGTTAACTGAGAACCAGAGGAAGCAAAGCCCTGCCCCTGCCATTCTGGGGTCTGACGTTGCCATCAAAGAGGCTGGCCAGGCAGGAAACAGGTGTGCTTCCTGGCAAACTAGAACCGGAAATAGCCACAGTAAAGGGGCCCTTTGAAATGAGCTCTCACCACGGAGGCCAGAAGACTTTGCTGCCGATGCCTGTGGAGCCAGCCTCGGTACCATCCAAGAGACAAGCAGTGGGGTCGGTGTGGGGGGCG